TAACCAAAGATGAGGGTGGCATCACTAAGCTCCTTGACGATTTTAAGGAGGATAACATAGCATTACAAAGCAGAATAGAAGAATTGGAAGACGAATTCATGAAACAAAGTAGGTTAACCTCTGAGAGTCATGCCGCTGAAATTGCAGACTTTAGAGCTAGGTTGACTAAGTTGATGGATGAAAAAAGCGGTGTGGTAAAAAGGTTACAGACTGCGGTAAACGAAGCGGCGGGGAAAGACGTAGAACTACAGCGCTTAGGAAAAGAATTAATGGAGTCTGTTGACAGAGAAAGGCAAGTAATGCTGGACAAGGCAGTGGTGGAGGAACAAATACGRCAACTTCAACAGGCCGTCGAAGACTTGGAGTACGAAATAGATCGACAGCGAGTAATAATCGAAGATCAAACTCGCCCTGAAGAAGAAAGGGAGGCAGCCCAAAAGGAAATAGAAACCCTTCAGGAAAGACTGGCGGAATTACAAACGCAAATAGAAGGTAAGGAAAGGGAGCTGGGGCTTACCACCAAGGAAAAGATAAAAAGGGCCCTTTTGAAGTATGGCGTGCCGCTGGCATTTGCGGTCGCTATTTCGAGCGTAGTAGGCGTGATCTTGTCCACGCTTAAGGCTACGGGCGCGGGCGTAAAGAAATTAGGCAATGGGCTGACTGACTTGGGAAAAAAGATGGCAGCCGGCCTTCCTGGGCTGCTTGGTAGCGTTCTTAGCCTGGTATTAAGAACCGGCGGCGAACTGTTGAAGTTTGTGGGCAATAACATTTGGATATTAGTCGTAGCTATTGGGGTGGTACTCCTGAAGAAGATTCGGGGATGATCTTATCTGGGTACGTTACTGGGGGCTTATCGTCGTCAGTCCTCCTGGGCGTCCTCGACTGGGGATAAGTAAAGATAGTATTCGCRCCGCCTTGATAATGCGGAACTAAAGGTATAGCAGTCATGGTGCTAATGGTCTTATGATTCCAAACAGCGTCCACCACGGCACCCTTAAACGTCGCGGCATTAAATACAACAAAGCCTTTATACTTATCACCTCCTGCGGTGTCGCTGGGGCGAAGTTGAAGCTTCGCGTATTGACAATTAACTATCATATGAAAAGTTACCGGCGACTGATTTTCCCTACTACTACTTGAAGCCTCGTACGTAAAGTGTGATGAGTGCCTGTTATTTACTTTTTTTCTATATGGAAATAGTGGAGTGTTGGTCTCATCTACTATCCTAAACCCAAGATTACAGCTATTTCGTAGGTTAACGTTAAGGGTACACATTACCAATCCTAAACCCCCAACCTTTACCCAAATTCCGGTATCAAACCACTCATCCCCTTGGTAATAAATCTCCCCTAAATAGTAATGAAAGCCTTCTTCCTTTACGTGTGGGTTCATATATCTAGAGACTCATTACCGTAAGGGTGCTAATGGTAGCGTGATTATAGGCTGTATCCCTTTGATTTTCTATGCTATTTACCGTAACCTTTCCCGTATCGTCTACTCTTATCTGCAGCTTTACCTTCCATGGCAATCGGCGACCATGTGGAAAGTCCAAACCGATAGATTTTCGGCGCTGGTTGGGTTGGGCTCTACGGAGAAATGCGCAGGCTCCCTGT